TAGCTGAACTCTGGGTATTCATGGATATAAAGATGGGAACAACAGAACGGGAGCCTCCGAAAGTAAGGAGAGATGGGGGAGGGTAATGGCTGAGAAACTCTCTCTCGGGTACTCTGTTCAATATTTGGGTGATGAGATCCATAGAAGCCCAAGGGTCATCATTACACAATATAACCATGTAACAAGCCTGCACGTGCGCCCTGTGATCTAAAATTCAAAAGAAAACATTCTTATTTCTTGTCTAGTTCTTAGAAGGGTTAGAGATTCTCAGTCTGACTCTGACAAGAGAGAGAGAAGACAGTATCCTTTTGGGTTTTTCTGGATGCTCAGAAAACTACCACTTGCAGGGACAGAAGTCGGGAGTGATACTCAGTGATTTTCCACATTGTTAATCATATGCTAAGAGGAAATGCAGGGAAGCAGCAGCATAGCCTAATCAATAAAAATAATGAAGGCCAGGTGCGGTGGCTCATGCTTGTAATCCCAGCATTTTGGGAGGCCAAGGTGGGCAGATCATTTGAGCCCAGGAGTTGAAGAGCAGCCTGGATAACATGGTGAAACCCATCTCCACAAAAAATAAAAAAACAAATTAACTGGGTGTGGTGGCATGTGCCTGTAGTCCCAGCTACTCAGGAGGCTGGGTTGGGAGAATCGTTTGAGCCTGGGAGGCGGAGATTGCAGTGAGCCGGGATTGCATGGAGGTCAGACTTCAGAAAAAAAAGACCGTGCTTCAGGAAGAAAAAAATGAAGTAGGGCCACAAGTATGTTCGTCCCAAAACTAGACACACATCACTGTTAGGGCCACAAGTATATTTGTCCCAAAACTAAACACAATCATAGGGCATGCCACCCCTGGCTCACCCCCCGAGTGACACCCAGACCCCACCTGGGGGATGAGGTGATCTTGGCAATGTTGATGTCATCAATGATGATCGCTCCGTCAGCAGACTTGTTGACTGAAAGAAGCCCAGGGTCAGGGACAACTTCCCTGCTCCCGTCCGCCCCATGATGCCAACCTGCAGGATAGAAGGGACCAGGTGTGGTGGGCATGCTGGCATCTGGACTTGGCCCTGTGCCACAGTGCCCTTATCTCTGCCCTACCTCAGGCATCGGTCATCTCGGCAACGCAACTCCACACCCCCTCCCTCACCCACTGCCCAGAGACACTCCTTTAAGGGTGTTTTGGCCAAGGGTCAAGAAGGACACTCTTCCTTTTGCCAGGCTCCCAAAAGGAATTCCTCAGCTTTTTATAGGTTACTAGAGACCTCAAAAGAGACACACAAGAGGCAGAAGGAATTTCCAACAAAGCCCTATTTGTTTCGACTCGGTAACTATTTACTAATAATTAGGTATTTCCTCATTTCTCCACACTGTTTTTCACACCTCTGATGGTGAGTTTCCCTTCATAAGCTGTTGAAATACCTGAAAGATTCAAGCAGATCTTCTGTGCCCTTTGCCATGACCTGGTCTCCACACGTCCTCCTTTGAAGGAATTAGGTTCCCCAGTTAATGGCCAATAATGATGTTACTCATCTCCAATTCTCCCTGGGCTTTGGAGGATGAGCTTCCTCTACCCTTTTACAGGGGTGTCACAGAGCAGCATGCATGCAAAAATTCTCATGACATAACATAAGCCATGAAGACTTAGCAAGGGCCAGGCGCAGTGGCTCATGCCTATAATCCCAGCACTTCAAGAGGCCAAGGCGGGTGGATCGCCTCAGTCAGGAGTTTGAAACCAGCCTGGCCAACGTGGTGACAAACCCTGTCTCTACTAAAAATACAAAAATCAGCCAAGCGTGGTGGCATGTACCTGTAGTCCCAAATACTCAGGAGACTGAAGCAGGAGAATCACTTGAACCCGGGGGATGGAGGTTGCAGTGAGCCGAGATGATGCCACTGTATTCCGGACTGGGCAACAGAGTGACCCTATCTCAGAAACCACCACCCCCGCCCCCCCCCAAAAAAAAATAACGTCCAGGGGCCAGGCATGGTGGCCGACTCCTATAATCCCAGCACTTTGGGCGTCTGAGGTGGGCAGATCGCTTGAACTCAAGAGTTGCAGACCAGCCTGGGCAACATACCAAGATCCCATCTCTACGAAAAATATAAAAATAAGCCGGGCATAGTGGCACACGCCTGTAGTCCCAACCACTTGTAGCCCCCCCCACTTGGGAAGCTGTGGTTGCAGCGGGCTGAGATCACACTACTGCACTCTGGCGTGGGCGACAGAGTGAAACCCTGTCTCAAAAAAAAAAATCCACATCTGTGGGCTCATTTGGTCTCTGGGCTCTCACTTAAGCTTTCACTTCTACAAGTTGGATGCGCTCTAACGACTTTTACTGCCACAATCCACTCCCAACCCCTGCAACAGCCATTCAAGTGGGAGTGTGGAGCTGTAAGTGACAGGGCAGATGCCACAGCTAGGTTCATCCACCTGGTGGTGCCCGACTGGGAATGGGGGGTGATGTGTACCCACCTTTTGTCCTCCACTGATGTGCCTGAGAACAAAATCCAGGTCTCCGTAGCACCGGCAGTAGTTCCAGAATTCCACTCAGCCCACCTGGAGCCAGCTGCTGGGCAGAGCTGTTTCCTGGATTTGTCAAGGTGGCTTTGATCACAGCAGAGGGAGAGAGTAAGGAATTCCCAGTCCATCCTAGAAAGCTGTGACTCCCCCAACCTCCCCTCCCTCTCACTCTGCTCCCCAAGGTGGCCTCCCAGGCCTCAGCACTGGGGGTTTGCTGTTTCCCCACGTGACCCCCGCATCCTGCAGATCTCTGATCGATGCGGAGGGCTCTCAGGCCCGCATCCCTGTCCCCTCCCACGCTGCCTTCTCCTTCTGGGCACTGCCCGCCTCCGGCCCTCTCAGGGCTCATGTACTCGAGTGTATTCTGTCTCCCACGCTCACTGCACCATCTACACAGTGAGGACAGGCTCTAATTGTTCACCACTGTATCCCAGGGCTCAGAGCACACAGTAGGTGGACATAAGAGTGACACAGTTGCTAATATAGAGGGTGAACCAGTGGTAGAAGGCACAGAGACTGAGGGAAGGAACATCATCTCTCAGTAGGTCAGCAAAACCCTTTGTAAAGCTGTCATCTCTCTGAAATAGAAAGCGGCTGACTAGACCATAGTTGTTCACTTTTGTCTGCCAGAATTAATCTGATGTTCATGTTCACCTTTCTCTTAAAATAATTGTACAACTGACTTGTATCGAAATGGTTCTTTTTATTTTTGTGAAACGGAGTCTCGCTCTGTTACCCAGGCTGGAGTGCGGTGGCGTGATCTCGGCTCACTGCAACCTCCGCCTCCCGGGTTCAGGTGATTTTCCTGCCTCAGCCTCCCGAGTAGCTGGGATTACAGGTGCCTGTCACCACACCCAGCTAACTTTTGTATTTTTAGTAGAGACGGGGTTTCACCATGTTGGCCAGGCTGGTCTTGGACTCCTGACTTCATGATCCGCCCACCTTAGCCTCCCAAAGTGCTGGGATTACAGGCGTGAGCCACCGCGCCCGGCCGTAGGTAAACTTTTTAAAATTTTTTCTAATAAAATATAAATGTTGCCCCCAGATTTTTTTAACCTCAAGGAAATGAGTAACAGCTTGTCACAGACTTCCTATAGAAGAAACAGTTTTTTAGATAACTATCATTAGGTTGGATAACGCAATAATTTCAAAATAGCAAGCAGTAGTACATCTTACCCGTATCTTTAGGCTGATGCCGAGTTTTAAGGGTACAGACAACAGTGTGATGTTTTTATGCACAGACTGGCTCTAGGTATTTGAGGAACACAATACAGAGATTTAAAAATGTGATTCTTTAAAATCTGCACTATGTTCTCTGTTTCTCAAAAGTGTTTGTGTTTCGTTCCTCACACTGCAGTGAGTAAAAAAAGAAACAAGAAAACAGTAACATAGATCTTGAAGTATGTTTCAATGTTGGGTGAATTTTTGTTTTTAGACACCAATAGAACTTACTTGTTTGATTAAAACAAATTTAAAAATAAATATTTATGGACGGAGTCAATGAAATGAGTGGTCTTCTCTGGACAGGCACAAGAATAAAAGTGAGTTACCCTGGCTGCCCGCCCCGGCGGGAAGGCAAGGATAAAAGCAGGGATTGTGTCACAGTGCCTCGTCGTCACAGCAATCCCATGTGGAGGGTCCTTCAGTTATCCCCAGCTTACACACAAGGGGACTGAGACACAGAGGGGAGGTCACTTGCGGAGGGAAACACAACTCTGCTTCTGAAAAGCCGTCCAGTTCAGCATTTCCTGAGGCCCACAGCTGGATGTGGCGTGGGCCAGGTTCAGTGGTTTTAGCCTCAGAGAGTGCACATCCCTCCAGGGCACACACAGGTGCGGAACCAGGCTGGAGAGCACATGGCCAACCTCAGGAGCACGGCGGAGGGCATGTAACAAGAAAACATTCGGCACCTTTTAGGCAAGACATTCAGCCCTTTTGTGGATGTGCTATAAAATAACAGCATTGCCGGGCACGGTGGCTCATGCCTGTAACCCCAGCAGTTTGGGAGGTGGAGGCGGGAAGATCACTTGAGGGCAGGGGTTCAAGACCAGGCTGACCAATATGGTGAAACCCTGTCTCTACTAAAAACACAAAAATTAGCTGGGCATGGTGGCGGGAGCCTGTAATCCCAGCTATTTGGTAGGCTGAGGCAGGAGGATCACTAGAACCCAAGAGGCAGAGGTTGCAGTGAGCCAAGAGCATGCCACTGCACTCCAGCCTGGGTGACAGAGTGAGAGTCTGTCTCAAGAAACACACACACACGCTCTGTTATTTTTTATTTTGTAGAGATGAGGTCTCACGATGTTGCCCAGGATGGTCTCGAACTCCTGAGCTCAAGTGATCCACCTGCCTTGGTCTCCCAAAAGTGCTGGCATGAGTCACTGCACCCGTCCAAAAAATAAGAGTTATTACTGAGCACTTACAATGCAGCTAATGCAAGTTGCTCTGCTCAGCACTTGAGACCCATGATCTCATCTGAGTCTCACAGCAGCCCTTAGGGGCAGTGACTATCATTATATACAGATGCGAAGCTGCCTCAGGGTTAAAGAAAAGGTGAGGCCTCACAGAATAACATGTAGACCTCACTTATGTTAAAAGAAAAAGAAACAAGGAAACGTGTGGGGGTATGTGGGAATCCCACAGAACAGGAAAGTTCTGGAGGAAACACACCTAAATGCGAATGGGGCCTCTCTGTGGGAAGAAGAGGAATGGGGTGAACAGGAACTAACTTTCACTCTCCCCCATAAAGTTCTTGTGTTAATTTTTTTTTTTTGAGACGGAGTCTCACTCTGTTGCCCAGGCTGGAGTACAGTGATGCAATCTCAGCTCACTGTAACTTCTGCCTTCTAGGTTCCACCGATCCGCCCACCTCAGCCTCGCGAGTAGCTGGGATTATAGGTGTACACCACCACACTCGGCTAATTTTTGTATTTTTAGTAGAGACAGGGTTCACCATGATGGCCAGGCTGGTCTTAAACTCCTGGCCTCAAGTGATCTACTCGCCTTGGCCTCTCAAAGTGATGGGATTACAGGTGTGGGCCACCGTGCCCAGCTGTGTATTGATTTTGTTTTAAACAAGCATCTCTCTCTAATTTATGTACATAATGGAAGGGGAGATGCTATGACAGCACAGTGAGGGGAACGGAGAGAAGCACCTGGAACTTTCTACCTCCATATAAAAATACATGTATATACAGACCAAACAGTGGCACTAAGGACAATTACTTTCTCTTGTGATTGTCAAATACACTCCTTCTAAAAATATAAAAGTAAATCAAAAGTAAAATGCTTTTAAAAACTGAATTTGTGCCAGGCGTGGTGGCTCACGCCAGTGATTCCAGCACTGTGAGAGGCCAAGGTGGGCAGATCACAAGGTCAGGAGTTCAAGATGAGCCTGGCCAACATGGTGAAACCCCATCTCTACTAAAAATAGAAAAATTAGCTGGGTGAGGTGGCGCGCACCTGCAGTCCCAACTATTCAGGAGCCTGAGAATCGCTTGAACCCAGGAAGTGGAGATTGCAGTGAGCTAAGATTGCGCCACTGCACTCCCGCCTGGTGACAGAGCGAGACTCGGTCTCAAAAAAAAACAAACTGAATTCAATCAAACTGCACGGTTTAAGTGGGTGAACTGCATGGCATGTGAAATTCACATTAATCAGGCCATTATAACAACTAATAAAATAGCTGCCCGGGCTGGTGGGTACCTGTAATTCCAGCCTTCAGCCTGCGTAAGAAAAAACAAAATTCTGTCTCAAAACAAAAATAAAAATCTAATAAAATACCTGTAAATGAATTCAATGTCAAGCTGGAAGCTGCCAGTGTAATGAACCCTTAGTTCCTCGGGGGGGCACTCACGCCATTCTTACAATGCTCACCGGTACCATGGGACCTGGTTCACCCAGAATGTTAAAGTGGGCAGAGGTCACCTCTGTGAATTCCTGCGGAGGACAGAACTTACCAGAGGCCTTGGTCTCTCTCCCAAGGGGCATTTCCTCAGGAGGCAGTGTAGTACGACTCCCATGGCACTGGAGATGGTCTCCGAGGAGGCGCAGGCTCAAAGCCTAGGTCTGCCATTTACCAGCCATGTGATCTTGGACAAGCAGCTTCACTTTTCTGTCTCAGTTTCCTCACCTGTAAAATGGGGGTAATAACAGCATCAAAATTATTGGGCTGGGGCACAATGGCTCCCGCTTGTAATCCCAGCACTTTGGGAGGACAAGGCAGGAGGATCACTTGAGCTCAGGAGATCGAGACCAGCCTGGGCAACATGGCAAAACCCCATCTCCTAAAAATACAAAAACCAGCTGGCTGTGGTGTCATGTGCCTGTGGTCCCAGACACGCAGAAGGCAGAGGCAGGAGAATCACTTGAGCCTGGGAGGCAGTGAGTGAGATCACCCTACACTCCAGCCTGGGCAAGACTGAGACTGTGTCTCAAAAATCAATCATAGGGGGAGGTAAAGACTGACTGCACTATTCTGTGTTAAGTGTTTAGGTCTGGGCCTGACATACTATAAGGCACAGTGTGTGTCCCTGTTATCATTACTTGTGTGTGTGGGGGGGGGAGGCGGGGTGTCACCAGACATCACTGTGACAGTTATCACTGTTGTTTCTACTCGTGCTGCTGTTCAGGGCCCAAGAAGGCAGTTATTAAGGACCATGTGACATCAAAGCCTGGTGACACGGGTCCCAGATGTTCTACCACGCCACGTGGGACCTTGATGCCACCATCCCTCCCCAGGCTCCCTTTTTCTCCATCTATAAAAAGAAGACTGGGGTTAAATGACTGCAGGGTTTCCCCCTTGGTTCGGTCCTGACTGCGTCATTTGTGTAGTATGCAGCAGGCACTGATTTTCTTGTTTTAATACACTTCATCAGCTCACTTATATCTCATTTCTCAGCTAGCTTCTGAGGAATATTTATTACAATCACAAATGGAAAAGTACTATTATTTTCCACAACAGGAGTCTCCCATACAAATACAAAACAGACAGGCCAGGCCGAGCACAGTGGCTCACACCTGTAATCCCAGCACTTTGGGAGGCTGAGGTGGGTGGATCACCTGAGGTAAGGAGTTCGAGACCAGCCTGGCTGACCTGGTGAAACCCCATCTCCACTAAAAATATAAAACTTAGTCAGGCGTGATAGCTGGCACACAGTGACACACCATCTCTCTTTTTTTTTTTTGACATGAACTCTTGCTCTGTCACCCAAGCTAGATTGCAGTGGCATGATCTCGGCTCACTGCAACCTCTGCCTCCTGGGTCAAGCAATTCTCCTGCCTCAGCCTCCCGAGTAGCTGGGATTAGAGCGCCCGCCACCGCACCAGGCTAATTTTTGTATTTTAGTAGAGAAGTGGCTTCACCATCTTAGCCAGGCTTGTTTTGAACTCCTGACCTCGTGATCCACCCACCTTGGCCTCCCAAAGTATTGGGATTACAGGCATGGGTCACCGCACCCAGCCAAGACTCCATCTTTAAAAACACCACAAAATACATAACAAGTAACAGAAGGTTATTTCTGATAGAAGATAGAGGCTGTGGTGTTGAAGGCTCCAAGTGTGAAGGCTGCTATTTATCCATCTGTCGAAGAGATCATCTCAATCGTGAAGGTGTTAAAGACCTGCTAGCACCAAACTCAGACTTTCTCTGTGGTATCATCAAAGGTATGAAAGAGAATTAGAGGGGAAACTTCTTCACAATGGGAGTCCCTTCTGAATGCTCGGTCAGCATCCCACAGTCTCGTATGCGGATACCCCAGATCTTGGGGAACTCTGGTCAACTATTTTCACCCTAAAACCAGGCTCTAAGTAAGTGCTGCCAAAAGACTGGACAAGCATAAGATGCACTTCTGCCTGATGGGGTATCCAGCTCACTCTCCTGCTGAGAGGCCAAGGGTACACAGAACAGGGCTCAGAGATGTCTTTGGGATAAAGCTACACCAAAGACCCAGAGGTCAGGCCAGGGGCCCTCGCCTACCTCCTCCTCAGTTTCTGAATACTCCTTGAGTCTCTCCAT